GTTAACGACAAAAGAGCAGCTTGTTATGTTATGGAGAAAGTCCTGAAAATCTGTCCATTTTAGAAAAATTAAAAGAATGATTATTATCATATTATATATTATACCTCAATGATTATATGTTTTATTTGCTATATAACAAGTTTTTTAATCTGCTTATTATTAGGCTTAGATTATGTGGAGTGTCTGCTGTACAAGGCCCTTGTTTTATCTGTTACTATTGGGGGTAGAGGGTTGTGAGGCTTACAGCAAAGACTCCTTCCATAAATGTGAAATAAACACCTCCTAACAAAAAACTTCACCACATCAACGATTGTAAGAGTTACTTTATTAAATAACAACCCATTTTTAAATCTGTTTATTATCTGTTTAAACAATAACATATTAAAACGAGTGCATTAATGTTAATGTTCATGTTACATCCGGAACTACATGTGCTGTTATATGAAAATAATGCACATCTTCTGACCAATCAGATTCGAGCATTCAACCGCGCTGTGGTATAAAAACAATTAATCAACATCTTCTGACCAATCAGAATCAAGAGTTCAATACTGCTGTGGTATAATAACTACTATAACACCTCTACTGTTTCTGGTTGTTCATAATGAATTGGATGATAGGTCATACTCAATTTGAACAAGGTGCCAACATAAATATATAATTCTTCACACTTATTATTTGATTTGACTTGAGCCGAAGACGGATCACTCTGGGTGAGAAAATACCCCACTGTGCACTACTGGTGTGAACAAAGGCACATCACAAGACGCAAAATACACTACCGCTCTACATTCATTTTATGTGTAAAAATAAAAAGTTGAAAAGAAATCCTCATAATTATGCTGTTTTATTGCTAGTAGGAAAATAAAATATAAAAATTCCAATGCAGCTTTTGGAAATGCCTTCCATGCAGAGGCGTAAAAAGTACAGAGAAACTGTAATTAAGTAAAAGTATGGGTATGGAGCCAAAGTCAAAAACATACACAAACATGCAAGAGTAATTTATTTATTTAGTTAGTTTTTAATTATTTATTTTAGTTAGTTGGTTAGTTAGATAGTTAGTTAGTTAGTTACATCCTTCAGATTTGAATGGCAAATTTTAAAGGCTGATACTTTGTTTTGTGAGAGGCATGTCATCCAGCAAAAGAAAAAAAGAAAGAAAGAAAAAAAAAAAAAAAAGAAAATTGAGATTTTTAATGAGCACTCTGAAGGTCACTGTGAAAATGTAAGGAGTAAAAAGCACGCTTTTCTCGGGTTAATTTACTTGAGGAAGAGTACAAGTATTTAATTTCAATAATACATGAGAAAGTACAAATCTTACAAAATAGTACTTAAGTAGAGTAACAGAGTGCAATTACTCAAGTATTTTCCAGCCCTGCTTCCATGACACTAAAACACAAGCATTAATTAATATTCCAGCCATTTTCATTATTTCTACTCTAATAACCTTCACATCAGCGCAGATCATGAATATAAAAGGAAAAATGTCCTTTAAACATCTTACAGAACCAGCCACAGTTCTTCTGGAGACTTTGACTGTCACACTTGCTTCTTATTTTTGCAGCAAAACCCAGCGGCCTTCATTATTAAGTTTTTTTGTTTGAAAAGTGTCTCTTATGTAATATGCTGCTTTCTTCACTGACATACAAACATTTTTCTGTAACATTTAATCTTGTGCTGGAAAACTAATGTTTGGAAAATATATATATATATATATATATATATAGATAGATAGATAGATAGATAGATAGACAGATAGATAGATAGATAGATAGATAGATAGCACCTTTTTCACATTCAAAAATCACTGTTATTTGTTTTCTCCTTCTCCAATAACTTTGTCTGTCTTACTTTCCCCCCTCTGTCTCTTTGATGGACATATGATTTTTTTTTTTGTGTGTGTGTGTGTATGTGTGTGTGTGACAGCTTTCTCTCCCACTGAGGAGGCTGAAGGAACTTCCTCAAGCTGTCAGAGATTTCCCGGCATCTCACATCATAGACAGACTAGCCAGTGTGACACACACACACACACACACACACACACAGTACACACACAATTTGTGAACTCTGTATGTCTATCCAAGCAGGCTTTTCTGTCTATTTCAGATTAACAAACACATGTAAACTTTTCTCCTTCACAGTTTTACAATCTCACAATCATATTCTCTCTCTCTCTCTCTCTCTCTCACACACACACACACACACACACAAACACACACACATATACATTAAGAAAAATAAACTACCATCCCGTACAATCACTGGTCACTATGCCACATAGCTGAAGATGAAGTTACACCATGAAAATAAAGTGCAGTGATTAACACACATGAAGATTATTTCTTTTTCTCACTGCTTTGCAGGTGTAACAACCCGAACACGTTTGTAAAGTGACTGAACAAAT